TTTTTGTTCACAGGTATTTCGATGAAGAGGAGCCACATTCACATCTGGACTTGATCAGATGATGAGATCCTGGATGCCATGCCTGAAACCACAATGGAATGAGAGGTTGGAGGGAGAAGGTGGGTGCATTTTGCATGTGGAATGGATGTGAATTATTGTAGCAAGGAGGGCCAGACTGTGGTAAACTGTTTGCAAAGATGACACAACCATCCCTCTCATTCCTACATGAATGTCCCATTGCAATGTGACTTTCCTGCCTCTTCCATCAAGATAGAGTTCATTTTTCTACCACCTGATCTGGGCTGGTCTTGGGACTTGCTTTGGTCAGTGGAATGCAACAGAAGTGATGTGTGACTGCTGAGCCTGGGTCTCAAAGAGCCTTGCAGCATTCACTCCTGCCATCTTGGAACCCTGGGCCCTCCATGAATAGAAATTCAAGCTGACCCTCTGGAGGGTGAGGGGAAATGGAGAAAAAGCCCCAGCTGACAGGCATTACCAACTGCCAGGATGTAGGTGGGACTGTCTTAGAGCACCCAGCCCCAGGAAACGCAGCAGACTACTGCAACCCTGGGGTGATCCCCAGTAAGATTAGAACTTCCAGCAGAGCCCAGACCAAATTCCTCACCCACGAAATCATGAGCAGACAAAAGTGGTTTCTGATTTAAAACACCGAGTTATGGAACGTTTTACTAGACAGCCATAAGAGAGTGATACATGTGGTTAGAATGGCAGACTTGGTTTCACTTCCCTAACATGTTCCACTAGCAATGGGAAGTTGGGGACGACAGGTTGGGGTCATCTTTCTCAAATGGAGTCTATGACATGGGCAAGGCTTCAGAGATTCGCTTCTCAGCTCATACAGTCGGGTATCATTTTGGGACTTCAACTCCTTCTCACACCTGCTCTCTGATGCTTGAAATTCCTTTAGCTAGGGTTAAGATTTCCACTACACAAACTGAAATACATTGCTTAAAAATATTCCATTACATTAAAATGTAGACACACTTGGGAAAAGTAACCTACTGACTTAAAGTTTCCCCCAGATGTAAGTGACTGTTGTCTTAGCCTATTCGGGCCGTTACAGAGCACTGTAGAGTGGGTGATTTGTAAGGAACGGAAACTTTTTTCTCACAGTTCTGGAGGCTGGGAAGTCCAAGATGAAGGTGCTGGCAGATTCAGTGTCTGGAAAGGAACTGCTTCCTGGTTCAGAGACGACTGTCTTCTCTGTGTCTTCATGTGGTGGGAGGGGCAGGGGAGCTTTTTAAGGTCTCTTACAAGAGCACAAATCTCATTCGAGAGGGCTTCACCCTCATGACCTAAACACTTACCAAAGACCCCACCCACCTCCTAACACCATGACATCAGGGGTTAGGTTTCAACCTATGCATTTTGGAAGGACACAAGCTTTCAGTCTATAGTAACTGCCTGAAAGAGGGGCTGGCTATCTAAGATGGATACCATTGTTTGCCCAGAAATTTGTCTAGGGTACAGCACTGGCCTGTGCCATGGGAGATGTGAAGGACCACAAAAAAAACCATGTGTCATCTGAGTTTGGTTCAGATTTTTAACTATCTTCTAAAGTGATAAGAGTAAGAGAGACATGAAGAGGAATGTGGCAATAAGGCAGCTGGCTGCCTCGATCTGCAGGCCTTTTCAGGGCATCCTGGAAACTTTCACCCCACTGTGGGCATCCCACTTGTCATTCTGGTGAAAGGCCCACCTCTGCCATAGTGTGGGGGTCGGTTGGTCACTAGTTCTAGACTGCTCCCCGTCTTCCACCAGCAGCTCAGTGGGGAAGGGAAAGCTCAGACCAGAAGACTGCAGAGGTTTCTGGACCTATGGTACACAGGTCCCTGTCTATTGGTAGTTTCTGAGTTAAATGCACATGAGACAAATGAGCCACAATACTGAAAATGACTCAGTGTGGTTGCTTCAGCTACTTTTAAGTTATAAAAGTCAGGTTTAAGCAACTGCAATTATAATTCTACCAGACCATCGTTCCACATGTATGGCTATTGGCTTTCAAGTTTGTTTGCATCTTTATTGCCTGGTGTTCGCTTGGCTAAGAAAATGAGAAGGTGGGCAGTTCTTCAGGGTTTTAACTTGATCGAAGGCTCTGGTGTAAATATGCAGCTTTAGGATGCTGGGCACACGTAGTATACACAAAGTAGTGTTACCCAATGACTGAAATAATAGCTTACGAAATGACTCTACTAATGCCCATTATTCATTTCCTCCTCCCTCTAGCAGCATGACACTATACATTGCAGGGTTGTTATTTCACTCCTCATATGAACCTTTGGCCTAGCGACTTATCCCTGAGGCATGCTATAATCACCGAGAAATGTGCTCCCTGTCACGTCTTATTGCTTAATTATGGCTCTATTTTAGGTTCCTAGAGCCATTTGGCTTGGAAAGACCTCTCTTATGTGTGACTTTGAACACGCATCCATGTTGTTATCCTTGAGTTCACACCAGCCTGTTCCCCTCCATCTTATTCTGGCTCGGGCAATGGTTTCTGAGCTTTGGTTCAGCAACGCCCCGCATTATTGCAGTGGGCCCTTACAATTACACTGTTCTGCGCATAACAAGATACTTCAGCCCTTTGTCAGAAAGGCATGTGCTTAATTTTTCCAATACCTGAAGTTTGCTTTTTTTTCACTGGTAAATCCCAGTGGGCCCACTATTTTAAATCAGTGACATGCAAAAACCTCCCCGTTTTCCAACTTCCTCTTGTCCTGTGACATTTTTTTTTTTTTTTAATCCAAAACCTGGACATATTGTCTAACAGAGGTTTTTGTTGTTGTTGCTTTAGTTGCGTGTGTGTTGCCCCCTAGTGCTAAAGGCAAACCAAAAGGCACGGCAGGTCCCAGATACATTCTTAGATTGCAAAACAACTGGATAGGATATTTAAAATGACAAGTGTTTGAAATATTTGGGACTTTGGAAAGATGTGTCCATATTCAGTCTTCCTACCACTTATTCTATCCTATCATTAATAAGACTTATGTTCTGTATCAGCCTTTGTTTTGTGAGTGTCCATGTTAGTCCTTTGTGTAGACGAGAAGCTTCTTAGGGACAAAAGGCCCAGATCATATACCTCTTAAACAGCTCTGTCCATATATGTAGCTACATACAGTTGTTTGATCCATTGCATCGGGATGATGTTGCATTTTTAAGGCAGCTGTTTGGGATTAGGAGCTTGCAAAAGTAGACTGACATTAAGGTAAAGGCAGACTGGAAAACAGTGTCCTGCTTCATCCCTCCAGAGACTAGTTCAAGTCAGGCCTGGGGTAGATCTATGTTGAGAAGGGGTATAATTACCCTGGTCCAGAGCGGCCCCAGGTCTTGTCTGGCAGACTGAGCTATATCTATCAGGGTCTTTTAAAATGCTGACTTGGCTCCTTAGAAATACAAAACCCAAAACATCATTTAGAAAGGTCACTGGGAATGGCCCGGGTCACAATAACTTGAGTCCATTTTGTGCCAGTGCCTCCAAAGAGGAAGTTGCTGAATACTTAAATAAAGCTCCTTGAGAGTACTATGTTGCTAAATCCAAACAAAGAATGAGAGAGGTTTATAGCTGACTTTTTACTCTATAATTTAAATGCCAATCCAGCAGTGAAATATGTTCTAGGAATTGCAATCAGATTTTTATCATCTGACTTGGAAACCAGCTGTGCTCTCAGTGAGTACAAAGATTTACTACCTGCAATTGCTGTAATTCCATCAGAAGAATTATGCAGAGGTGAAAAACTTGAGAAAAACTCTTTATTTTAAATGCAACACAAACCATGTTTTAAGAAATTCTTCTTTGAAACTGATAAAGAATGGTTTTAATTCAAAGAAAGTAGAAGGGAATCAAGGTATAAGAACCCTTAAAATTCAGGAATTCAGTATACTCTTCAAAGTATGTTTTTAAGAAAATGAGTAAAAATTACTACAATTTAGTAAAGACCATGTTTTAAACAGAACAAGTGAGATAACACGAAGTAGTTAACTCCTCAATTACATAGCACATCAAGAGCTCTGATAATCTTACGCTCTATTTGAGAGATGGAAGAGAAGAGGAATTTAACTCCAGGAAGGACAGCTCTACAAAGTGCCCTAATAAATTCATGGCAGCAATTTTGAACCAATAATTTCCTTCACAGAAACTCACAATTACTGTGGATTTGTGAATCCATATATCAACTCTTTTGAATGTATTTTATGATTTTTAAAAGATACCAGGGCTATCCTGGAAAAGCTAGTGCATATGGTCCTCATACCAATGAGCCCCACGTCTTGTTCATTTGTTCATGTTCCTCTCACACATGGGCTACAGCTGCCCTTGTACAAACCTGATGCAATAGAACTTTGTCACTTATATCATCACCTGAGCACTCGGATACCACCCTGGGAAAGCCAAGCAAGGTACGTTTTTCAAAATAATGGTTTCAGTGGGTCATTTATAGACACTTGAAAGCATTTCACATGGACAAACACAATCCCAGAGTGGGTTCTAAAGCAAAAGTTTCAAGAGGGATGCAGAGAACTTCATGGTCTGCATTGTAAGAGCTACATCAAGGTGGTAAGAGACACATCAAGAGTTTAGAACTGCAACTTGATTATCCCTTTAAGTTTAAAGTGAGCCAGTCGGCCAACATGACATAAGTGAAATCTCTGGCTCTCAAATTCCTCATCTGTAAAATAAGATCATTAAATCAGATGATCTGCAAGGTCCCATCCATTTCATTTATTTCATGGTTTTCATTTCTCCATATACCTTATATGATAAATTCTTAACGTACTTAGACTCAGTATTAGATTGTACCCATCTGTACTTGGCCAACATTATAGAACCTCATTTATTGATGGATTTTTCCCTGACAGAGGTTCACACAAAAGTAGACGATTGTAACTACCAATGGAGATTCAGGATGCATTACTGCCACATGCTGCTTAAGAACACATACTAAACTAAGAAAATTTTTAAAAAAAGATAAAGAGAGACCACATTATAAATGCATCAGATTTGTTTATTCCTTAGAAAAATAGGAGTATATTGGACAATGAAGCTTTCAGATTTTATGCATGCATGTCATTCATAAATAAAAACAAACTATATAAATGCCTCTGTTTAGAGAAGCCAGTAATGGAAAGCTATAATTTCAAATTACATAATACAAAAATACAGAGCTCATCCTCATTACTAGAAAATAATATCCTCAAACTCATTTAAAAATTCTTTTTCAGAAATTATTATGGATACAATATTACATTTGTCCTTATCTTTTATTTCTTCTTTTTAAGACTTAAAATGCTTGATTTTACTATTTGGAATTTCTGATAAACCAGAATTGAATGTGTTATTCACAGATTTTGTAATAAAACTACAATATTTACTTACATATTCACATCACAATGTAGTGGTCAAGTATTAGTGATGGTAATTAATAAACTATTAGAATAATAAGAAAATCATCATTTTAACAATTTAAATGCTTTATGACAGGATAATTTATATCCAACATATAAAATACATACTTACGGGTAACTTTAGAAAATGTATTAATTTTTTTTCATAATCAGAAGTAGCAAGATTTTCTGTATTATTTTCAGCCTTACTGTAGACATGTTTTCATTGTCTAAATTTAATCAATGTGCTGATTAAAGACAATATATTAATAGTGAAATTATATATATATATGTTTGTGTGTATCAACGAATCCAAACTCAGGCTGTAAACTAAAGCCATGTAAAAGGCAAAGTGAATAGAAAAGTAATGTTGGCTTAAGCTGTCTGGTAACCTCAAAGCTGTGTTTTGCAATGGAGTAAGATCCGGAGAGAGAATAGTAAGTGCCAAATATTACTTTTGTTAGATGTTTGTTCTCTTCTTCACATTTAATATTTGTGTCTCTTTTTACTGATGACATAAAAGAGGATTCTCAGTCTCAGCACTTCTCCTGGAAGTTAAATGAGTTTGATGAGAGGTTATCATTTTTCATTTTACTTTTCTGTATTGACCTGGTCATACCCATGTACTTTTTCTTCTATCCTTTGAAGTCACTTGTTTTCACCCAAAATAAGGGTACTTTAAGGGAACCAGACCAAAATCAAGGTGAACTATGTATAAAATTATCATTATTTGAGACTTTAGAATGGTCCAACACGTTATAAAACTAATCTTAGATTCAAATATTGTTTCAAAGAGGCATTTACCAGCGGTCATGGCATACTCTACAACAGAAAGTTTCTGAAGACCATATTAGCTAAAAACAATAAACACTGGCCCTTCATGTGGCCAGAGCAGCCGAACTGTCATCATGTACAGTAGTCTTCGCTTCCTGACTTGGGTGGTCTGGAGTGAGAAGGGGAGAGCTCTTGGGATTTTCACATTGTTCATCCACCTTTGGGCAAGCAGCTGGTGCTTGATGCTCTTTGTTCTGAGCAGATCCTGATGTCACAGTCTCCCCAGAAGGCTGAAACGGCCTCTCTCCATGAACCTTCTGTTTCCCTGCTTCTGCCTCTTGTTCGTGCAGCAGTCTCTCCACCTCCACGTCAAGCTCCAAAGCCTCCTCATCGGCTTGGACATCCAACTGCTGCATCAACTCCTCCAACTTCTTGGCCTTGCGGAGCTCATTTTGCTGTATGATCGTACAAAGGTGCTCGGTGAGCTGCTCTTTAATATCAGTCTTGCGCTGTAGATCGAGCTTGGCTGTAACATACTCTGCTTCCGCCCTGTCAAACCGCTTCCTGTAGGGACAGGAACAAAGATTGGTCCATTAGTTTTGTATCACAGAAAGAGGGCTGAGAAGCAATAATTAAACTCCAGAATTTGGTAGCAATGTATAATGAAGTTATGGATATTAACACTTTATGAATACTTGCCTACACATTAGACAAACTAGGCTATTGCTGCTGAAACTTCACAACATTTACACTTGGACTCTCCTAATATAACAACATTCCTCTGCACTCATTTCCTCTTTCCGACGCCATACTTGAATGAAAGCAGGTGAAGAGGGTTAATTTAGTGGTATGCTAGCTCTGGAAGGAGTAAGCCCTGATTTGTAGTGTTTGTCGATTTCTATAGTGCGAATACTACCACCATAGCCAAGTTCAAGCTATCAATATGACTGAATGTAGAATTGGGGAAGAGGGGAATCTGCTTTCATGGTTAGTGGTAAAACAGTAAGAGATGGAGAAAGTATCTCTATTATTTAATCAGGGTGACATTAGTTAATAATCACATTATCTTAGTTTCCGGTGTACATCTTTATAATACATCTGTGGACTCTATTGTGTGCTCACATCACCATATATTTAACCCCCTTTAGCCCCTTCTACCTCCCTTTTGGTAAACACCATTCTGTCTATATCTGAGTTTTTTTGTTTGTTAGTTCATTGGTTGCTTTTTGTTTTATATCCCACATAGAGTGAAATCATGGCTCTTGCCCTTTCCGTCTGACTTATTTCATTTAGCATACTTTCAAGATCTAGCCATGTTGCAAATGGTAATTTTTCATCTTTTTAATGATCGGATAGTATTCCACTGTATATATGTACCACATCATCTTTATCCAATCATCCAACTTAGGTTGTTTTCATGCCTTGACTATTGCAATGATCATATGGGTACATTTAGCTTTACCAATGTTTTCAAATTTTGGGGGTAGATACCCAGAAAAGGGATCACTGGAGTTGGCAGCTTATCTTTGTTTTCATCAGAGATGCCCAGGGTCGTATCATGACACAAAACAGAGCCAGGTTACTGTGGGAAGGGTTAGAGACTAGGCATGCAATGACTGAAACTCTGGTATAGTGACCCAGGTAGTTTCTTCAATTGAGTTTTGGTTTGAGTAATGGTGATGATAATAGTACTTCATAGGAGCGTTAAGAATTAAGTAATGTGAGCAGGGCAGGTGTCTGGTGCAGTGCCTACTAGGTACTCAAGAAACAGAACTTCCCCTCCAGAGCACCAGACTCAAAAAGCACTGTCAGTATATCACTAAACATGTATCTAAAATTAAAATGATGCAAAATGTAAGGATCTGGTGTTTTTACTTGAAAACTCTAACTTACATAACATTCAATTACCATATTTTTCTTCTTTACTGTCATTTAGTAAACATGAGAATGAGAAAACTAGCTGTTCTCCATTACCCTCTGTGTTAAGAGGATTGTTCTAAAGGAGCTCTGTTGGATATTTGGATCCCTGACTTCCATACTGTACAATATATCCTGTTTGTGAATGTCTGGCATCAAGCTTTAGAATCCTGGCAACACTCTCTATAGGTATATGAATACCTCGCCCCTTTCCCCCACTCAAACCTCCCTTCTCTGCAAGTCTGTGGTCTCCCTCAGCCAGTCAAAGTCAGACAGGAAAGATTTACTGACCCGGGCTCATGAATGCTGAATTGAAATTAAAATTTGCAAATAGGTCCCTAGGTTTCCATTGATCTTTCACCCTGGATAAATCACTGAAGATTCTGCATTTTGTTTATTTATTTAAGTCCTTCTGGCCAGAAACATGCATATATATTCTTGTACAGAGTGACTTATGTTTAAAGTATTGATTAGTTTCACAAACTGCACTATGGGTCTGGGGGTCAGGTGGATGTACCAAATCAGTCTGATTGACACACTTTGGAAGAGAATAATAAGTGCATTATATGTAACACAGTAAGAGAAATTGAGCTGAAATGTAGTTATAGAATTATTTTGTTATTTTAAAGGTACACTAAATGATTTAATGAATGCTATTTAAAGGATTCTAGAAACTATATCTTGGTTTTGGTATCCCTGAAATATTAAAAAAAATAAAAAAATTAACCCTTGGCATGCCATTAGGTTCCACTGATCCACTTTTAGTTTTCCATTCCTTTTATGAGCAATTATAACTATTTGTAAGGATTAACATGTCATGATTTTTTTTTTTTTACCCTTTCTTAGAAGTCTTCCAGAGAACAAAGAGAAAAATTATTTATATTTTAAAAAAACAATAAAACTAATCATATTTTGCAATTACTACATAGGTCCACTGGATCTTTTTATAAATCTAGAATACATTATCGCATCGTTGAGATACTATTTTTCTAACATTTTGCAATTTCATCACCCTAGGACGTATTTCCTTGTTACCAATTATTCCAATTTATGCTAAAAAATTAAAATAACAAGAAAAAAGAGAATGATGAAATGACCTAAAAGGATGATATTATAATAAAATAAATCATCACCATTTAATTTCCTTACTGTGCTGTCCACAGTATTACATCACCTTTCAAGAAGGTATAAAACACTAGAAACCCCATATTTGTAATCTGCTCTCAGCTTTCACTGAACACAGTTGAGAATCAGTTGTATTTTTTTTTTTTTTACTTTTCTGCCCTAATGGCAAAGTAGAGAAAATTGACAGATGAAAACATTTTGCAGTTATTAGATAAGTCAAAAGATAAATGTTGTGGTAGGCTGAAAAATGATCCCATGAAGATATGCTCTTCCTAATCCCCACACCTAGAGTCTCTGAAGGAAGAGTGACCCTACCAACACCGATTTCAAACTCTGGCTTCCAGAAAATGTAAGAGTACATATCTGGTCTTTTAAGACACCCAGGTTGTAGTCATCTGTTATAGCAGCCCTAGGAAACCAACACCAATGCACACACACACGGTCCAGATTCTAGGTGGTGAAGCTGATCATGTGACATCTCAGAGTATGAGTCCTCAAAAACACATTCTAGATGAATGTTTTCAAACTCAAGAACCAGTGAATGAAAAGATAAAAAGAAAACAGGTTGTTTCTCATTGTTACAATTTCAATAGGAAGAAATTAATCACTCGATTTCTCAATCACTCAATATTTTACAAATATTTGGGCTGTCCTGTATTGCTGAAAGGATGTAGCCTCATTCTTTCAGTTTTTTATAAGTTTTGGAGTCAAACACTATTTGATATGAAGAGGCTTGCGATGCTTACCTTCTCATTAGTTTTTAATGAGGTTATTTTCACAATCCCTTTTATTCTCACTTCTGTAAATTACACATAAAATGACTTAAATACTGATGGATATACGTATATGTGCATGTGCATGTGTGTGTGCATGTGTGTGGGGGAGTGTCTATTAAACATAGATGGCAAAGAGTGATAATGGTTTTTCCCAGTATGTTGAGGGTTAAAGAAATGTTCTACATGCAGCTCTGAGTTTTACAAGCTGGATGCACAGCATATGGCAGCACTGTCATCGTTGCTGCCAACAGCAGCAGCAGCAACTCTCAAGTTGGCTCACTCAAAGTGCTGGTGTCCTCGGGGGTGTCTGCCCTGACACTACTCTACAGAAGCCAATTCCCAGGGAACTCTGGCCTATCAGTATCCCAGAAACTTTTGTGGACAAAGCACTGTACCAGGCACTATAGAACTATATTAAAAAACAAACAAGAAATCTCCTCCAGAAATGGCCTACCCTGGGGATTAACAGCACGTGGTCAAATCTAGATCATAATATTCTATCACCAATATATAATTTCTCAATAACCATAGACATAAATTTAGAAAATGTCTTAATCTTATGCATGAACAATATACAATGCTGGTTCTAATCACAACTGTTTGTAAGATTTTAAAAAAATAGCCTCACACATGTAATATGGATATTCACATACAACGATGTTGACATCAGTACCATGAGAATGTGTCATTTTAAACTTGTTAAGAAGATGTAAAAAATGTACCATGTAAAATTTTTTTATTATGTAAAAATTGACTAAAACTTCATTTCAAATATTTCTATATTATGGGATACGTCCTCCTTTAACCAGTAATTCTACCTTTTTAGTGGTTCTCTGAAGGCTAACATTATGAAATTTTAAAAATATAATGTGCAGTGTACAAAGCATCCTTCTCCAGTCTCCTCTAGGCCAAAATTAAAACATAATCAGATGACTTTTCTGTTGAAGTATCCAGAATAATCTGAATTATTCATATAAAAGGCTACAAAGGCCAAAAAAAAAAAAGTTCCTCTGGCAACCTTAAGTTACAAAGACTAAAATGTGCTAAACATCTAGGCTTAGTTTAATCTTAATAAAATCTTGGTCACCTCCTTAATGACCTTATTAGTTGAAATCTGGAACCTCTAGTTATCAGCTACTGATGGCATTAATTTAGGCAACCCATTAAATCTAACAGCACATGGTCAAACAACAATTACAAAAATCACGAGGACACCACAAACCTCTTTCTTAAACAATAAACAGTGAATTAAAAACCACAATCAAGCATTTCCGCTTTATTAAATTGTTATATAAACATTCTGATGCTGTGGTTTACCCTGGACTAATGAGGCATTCTGATTGATTTCTAGTGTTACAGAGAAAGATGCAAAACGGAGTCATTAACACAGCATTCCCTTGTGAAAAAAGACAAACCAGGATGATTAAAGCAATGTTGAAAGGACTGAAAACCCTGAAATTGGACTTAATTTTTTGCCTTTTTATCTGCTTGCAAAGTTCATGTAATTCTTTACATGTGTTAGTTCATTTTGAAAATACTCCATGATGATTTTTTTCTCTTAAAAAATGCCAATGGCTGAAACCAAGGAAACACATGAGAATGAACCATTTTATACAGAATAGAATCAAAAAGAAAAACTTCAAGCTTTCAAGACAGTGTGATATTTTCTTTAAAATACTCATAGGCTTTACAAAATAAACTAGATATTTCTTTAATGAAAACTGAAATGAGAACTAGGCTAATCCCCAACGAGCACCTCAATCAAACTTTCTTAACAGAAGGACCAGAGACTTGGCGTTAGAATTATAGTTTTGGGGCAAGTCATTCAGATATCCAAACAGTAAATACCTGATGCTTTAGCAGGAAAGACTAAAATGTAAATAAATAAGGCAAGAAATACTCTAATGGGAATATGAACAAGGTTAATGGGTAGGGCAGAGTAAAGGAAGACTTCAAGAAGAGGAGACACACTTGACACTACTTATTTCGAAACAGGAATAAATACAGCGCTTAATGTGGTTGTTACGAGGCTTAAGTGATGATACACATGAAAGGTCCTGATCCAGCTAGCAACACACATTAATTAAACCCAACTGCTTGTTCCGAATCCAATTTCCCCAACTCACCGAGCATTTGAATAGTCCAGACTGGCCTGGTCAATCCGGTTCCTGAGGATTCCAATGTCAGCGGACACCATGTCATCTAAAGCCTGCAACTCCTTCTGGATCCGCTTCAGTTTCATGGTCTCTGCCTGAGTTCTTTTAGATCTAGAAAATTAGGAACATGAGTGGGAAAATAAAAACATTCTGAAAGCGTGTATCCATATACAACGTGAGTGAAAAAAAGCAAGCTACTTCATTTACAATATGAATATAATGCATAATTTGTAAAAATTAGAAAAACAAGAAAAATTGAAAGAAATCAAATGCTGGTATCATTCTGGTTTATCTGGAAGACTGCATTTGCGCTTCTTTCCCTTATTGTTCTAAATTTTCTATTAGTACATATGATTTTCATATACTAGGGGAAGATTGAAAAATTTATCAATAAAAAGTTCACTTACAGGTATATTCATTCCATAAGGATAAGAATAAGCACTAAGAAAATATATCTGTATTCTCTGTACATTGGAACGTCGAACACAACTTTCCAAATCTGTAGCCCATTTCATTTGTCTGATACCTGGACACCAAGAACAGACGCCTGCATCAAACACCATTTCTTTATATGTCTAGAAACAGCTAGTTGGTTTTGAATTTCTTAAGACTCATTTCCCCCCAAACTGTTACTGCTTTGATTTCTGTCCTTTAGGTAAAACTACAGGTCCTCAAAATTTTTCTTTCTGGGCCTCAAAACCAAGCACTTTTTTTCTTTGTTTAAAAGCACATCCAATCTCACCATCTCTCAGCCCCCTCACCACTCCCGAGTACATTACAAACTTAAAAAACAAAATAAATACAAAAGTCAACCTTTAATTACGATTTCACTCATTTCAAAATTTCACACACATTCTCAACAAGAGAATAAAACTCCCACCTAAAATCACTATATTTTCCAGATTTCTACTCTATTTATGCATTTACCCTAGTTTTCTGCCTATAAAAGTTAACAGTATGATTCTTTTACTGGAAGTACTGTATTTCACTGTCTATTTATTAATAATCTAACCAGGCTACATTTCCTTACATTTCTGTCTATAGCAGTGCTTTCTGTCTTAAATCAAAAGCATGTAAAGAATGCTAAGCCTGTCAATCTTCTTGTAAAAGCACCTCTTCCAAACTGAAGACTACTAAAATGCTTTCCAATAATCACTTTTCAATAATCATGTGTGTTTTTTTCTTGAAACATAAATTCAGTGATTAGCATCATTTCGTGTTTCATGAAAGATCAAGGTATACCCAGAAAAGAAAAGTCATTTTCGAATACATACTATATCCCTCTGGCAGATAAAATTCTTTATTTCTATTATACCCACCTGCCCGTCTCTCCACCCCTATTCCTTCTCCTCCCTGACACATTTGCTTAGCTTCATTCAAGAATAGTTTTGCCAGACTTTTCTGGAGATCTAAAAAGAAAATGCCACTGAATACCTGCTTGCATTTAGTTCTCACTGTTTCCAATCACTGTTTTATTGACTAAGCTTGTTTTCTTAAGGCCACAGCACATTAGCAACTACCAGCTAAAAGGGTAGAAAGACAGAAAAGCGGTTCCAATGGGAATGTTGCTGTTTGAGGCCAGCACAATGCAGTAAAGAAAAAAAAAAGGGATCTCGGACACACTGACATTGGGAGGTTAGAAAAAACCTGAACTGCTCACAGTATGGGACAGTACTCATAATGGTGACCCGAGTCACAGATAAAAGCTTAAATTATATCATGTATCTTTATCAGTACGGGCAGAATAATTATTTAAGAAATATCTCCATAGGAAACATAAGATTTGTGGGAGTATAAGTCATTTATATGGAACAATCTTACTCCTCTACATGTTAGATGACGAAGGCCCCCTCATGTCAAAATGAAAACTTATCTGTTAATTTACTTATATTGACAGCTATTTATTGCTCCCTTACGAATGCATAGATGATTAAAACTGAAAACACTGACGCTGATCCTTAAGTTTTAATTGTACCTGTATTACCTGTAAGTTTGCTATGATCTATGCTTAAATGATTTCAGTATCATTTATAAAGCATAACTTGTTTAGCCTTAAAGAAAATATCAGTTTATTAGAAGAGACATGGGAAAATAAATATAAAACATGATAGAGCTGACTGCAAATGGCAAACAATCTCTCCTGGTGCAGGTGCCTCACCTTTCCGCAATAGCTTTAGCCAAAAGAGCTTTCTTACGTTTATTTTTTTCTTCCATTAGCCGCTGCTCTTGTTGGAGGACTTCCCAACGAGACTTTTCTTGCCTAAGGAGCAAAAAAGTATAAAAATGAGTTTCTGAAACCCCACCCCACACCTTCCCAGTCTCAGTCTCCTACGTATAAAATTTAATCAGCCAGATTATGTATATGTATATATTTTTAAAAAGTCCTTTTAAGAGGAACCCATCTGCAGCTCATTATTTTGTTCTAATAGAAATAAAGACTACGATTTGAAGTAAAGAAGGCTTACATAAATTGGCCCTTTGAAATCCATTATATGTATATAACCTAGGAACCCACAAACTGGAAGCCAGAATAGTGTGGCATTTTTTAGAAGTACAAAGAAACCTGTGTAAATTATCTATTATATGCAAAATGGAGAGCAAAATAAATAGGTCTGTAGCTAATATGTTATATCTTTCAAAGTTCTTTTAAAAATCATTTTAGTGATCTAATCATTAAATCACTTTATAGTCTACATTCTTGGACACATGGAACATATTTATAATAGCTGTTTAAATATTCTTTGCCTGATATTTCCCGTCGTTTGTGGGCCTGTTTCTTTTGATGACTTTCCTCCTGGTTATGTATCACAATTTCCTGCTTCTTTGCATGCCTAGAAAGTTTTTATTTTTGTCCAGATTGAATGTGCATTTAATTTTTTTAAAAAGTGTTTCAATTACAGTTGACATATGATACTATATTAATTTCAGGTGTACAACATGATTAGACATTTATATACCTTACAAAGTCATCACCCTGATAAATATAGTATCATATCTGACATCATATATAGTTATTACAATATTATTGACTATATTCCCTATGCTGTACTTTACATCCCTGGGACTATTTTTATAACTGCCAATTTGTACTTCTTAATCCCTTCACCTTTTTCACCCATCTCCTTAAAGCTCCCCCTCCCCCAAATCAGGTAACTATCAATTCGTTCTCTTTGTCTGTGTGTTTATTTCTTTTGTGTATGTTTTTTAGATTCCACATATAAGTAAAATCATATGGTATTTGTCTTTCTGACTTATTTTACTTAGCATAATATCCTCTAGGTCTATCCATGTTATTGCAAATAGCAAGATTTTATTTTTTATGGCTGAGTAATATTCCACTGTATATATGTACCACTCTTCTTTATCCATTCATCTATGGATGAGCACTTAGCAACTTAGGTTGTTGCTTCTATATCTCAGTTACAGTAAATAATGCTGTAATGAACATATGTATGCACATGTCCTTTCAAATGAGGGTTTTGAATTTCTCTGGATACTCAGAAGTGGAATTGCTGGGTCACATAGTAGTTCTATTTTTAATTTTCTGAGGGATCTCCATACTCTTTTCCTTAATGGCTGCACCAATTTACAACCCCACCAATAGTGCATGACCGCTCCCTTTTCTCCACATCCTCACCAACACGTTATTTCTTGTCTTGATAGCAGCCATCCTTACAGGTGTGAGGTGATATTTCATTGTGGTTTTAATTTGCATTTCCCTGATGATTAGTGATGTTGAGCATGTTTTCATGTCTACTGGACACCTATATGTCCTCTTTGGAGAAATGTCTACTCAGATCCTCCCACCATTTTTTAATCAGATTGTTTTGATGTTAAGTTGTATGAGTTACTTATATATTTTGGATATTAACCCCTTATTGGATGTACCATTGGCAAATATCTTCTCCTATTTAGTAGGTTGTCTTCGTTTTGTCAATGGTTTCATTTGCTGTGCAAAAACTTTTTGTTTGATGAAGTCCCATGTTTATTTTATCTTTTGTTTCCCTTGCCCAAGGAGACATATCTAAAAAATACATGTTATTAAGAGCGAAGTCAAACAATTTACTGTTTTCTTCTGGGAGTTTTATGGTTTTGTATCTTACATTTAAGTCTTTAATCCATTTTGAGTTTATTGTTGTATGTGGTTTAAGAAAGTGATCCAGTTTCATTCTTTTGCACCTATCTGTCCAGTTTTCCCAACACCATTTATTGAAGAGACTATTTTTGTCCCATTGTATAGTCTTGCCTCTTTAGAAGCATGTTATTTAGCCTCCATGTATTTGTTTTTCAGTTTTATTGTTGTAATTAATTTCTAGTTCCATATCATTGTGATTAGAGAAAATGTTTGATATGAGTCACTCTTAAATTCATTGAGACTTGTTTTGTGGCTCAACATATGGCCTATGCTGGAAAATGTTCCATGTGCACTTGATATGTATGTTCTGCTGCTTTTGGGTCAGATGTCCTAAAAATATCAATTAAATCCATCTCATCTAACAGGTCATTTAGGCCACTGTTTCCTTGTTAATTTTCTGCCTGGATGGACTATACATTCATTATCAATGGTATGTTAAAGTCCCCTACTATTACTGTATTACTATTGATCTCTCCCTTTATGTTCACCAATATTTGCTTTATATATTTAGGTGCTCCTATGTTGGGCGTGCAGATACCTACAAGAGTTATATCCTTTTGTTGGATTGATCCCTTTATCATTATGAAATGCCCTTTTCTGTCTCATTACAGCCCTTGTTGTAAAGTCTATGTTGTCTAACATGATTATTGTTACCCCAGCTTCTTCTTCATTTCCATTTGCATAAAGCATCTTTTTCCATCCCTTCACTTTCAGTCTAAGTGTTTCTATCTGAAATGAGTCTATAGGCAGCACAATATGGATCTTGCTGTTTTATCCATTTAGCTACCCTATGTCATTTGACTGGAGCATTTAGTCAATTTATATATTCAGTAATTATTGATAGGTATCTAGTTATTGCCATTTTATTGTCTTCTGATTGTTTTTGTAGTTCTTCTGTTCATTTCTTATTCTCTTGTCCTCTTTTCTTGTATGTTGATGACTTTCTAGTGTTGTTTGGATTCCCCTCCATTTCTTGTATATTTCTTAAGAGATTTTTGCTTTGTGGTTACCGTGTGCTTCATATATACCAAACTATGTTTATAGCAGTCTATTTTAAGTTGATAGTTGATTAAGTTCAAACACATTCTAAAATCACTAAATTTTCACTCTCCCCCTCCATGTTTATGTTTTTGTCACTTTTTTGCTTCTTTGTGTTTATGTATAATTGTAATTAAACATGGTCTTTGTACTTTTGCCTTGTAATCTTTCTACTGCTTTACAGTTGGTTGATCCACTGCTTTTAGTACGTTTGTCTTTGTGAGAATTTTTCTTTCCTATATTTTTTTATTCAGTTTTAAATCTTTTCTTTTGTACTTAAATTAAGTCCCTTTGACATTTCTTGTAATACTGGTTTAGTAGTGATGAACTCCTTTAGCTTTTTCTTGTCTGGGAAATTGTTTATCTCTTCTTTGATTCTAAATGATAGAATTGCTGGGTAGAGCAATCTTTGTTTGAGGTCTTTGCCATTTATCACTTTGAATATCTGTGCCAATCCCTCTGGCCTTCAACATTCGTTGCTAAATCACTTGACAGTCTTATAAGAGTTCCCTAGTACATAACTAACTACTTTTCTCTTGCTACTTTTAAGATCTTTGTCTTTAACCTTTGGTATTTTAATTTTGATGTGTCTTGCTGTGGGCTTCACTGGGTTCATCTTGTTTGGGAATCTGTACTTCTTGGGCTTATCTATTTCCTTTGCCAGGTTAGAAAAGTTTTCAGTCATTATTTCTTCAAATAGTTTCTCAATCCCTTGTTCTCTCTCTTGTCCTTCTGGGATCTATGATGTGAATACTTATACACTTGTTGACCCAGAGGTCCCTTAAACTGTCCTCACTTTTTTAAAAAAATTATTTTCTTCTATTCCAATTGGGTGTTTAGTGCTACTTTGTCTTCCAGATCATTGATTCAATCCTCTGCTTCCCATAATCTGCTGTTGATTTCCTCTAATGTATTCTTCATTTTAATTATTGTATTCTTTATTTATGACTGGCATTTTTTTATGGTTTCTCTCTCTGTGTTGTGGTTCTGAGTTCATCTATTCTTTCCCTAAGTTCATTGAGCATTCTATAACCACTGTTTTGAACTCTGTATCTGGTAGATTGTCTCCATTTTTCTTTTTCTTTCTGGGATTCTGTTCTTTCATTTGGGAAATGTTTGTCTCCTCATTTGCCTGACTCCCTGTGTTTGTTTCTATGTATTAGGTAGATCTGCTATGTCTTCCAGTCTTGGCAGAGTAGCCTTATGTAGTAGGTGTCCTGTGAGACTCCACGGTAGTCTTCCTGATCACCTGAGCCGGGTGTTCTAGGGGCAGCCCTTGTGTGGGTTGTGTGTGCCTTCCTGTTGTAGTTGAGCCTTGATTGCTGTTGGCACATCAGTGGGTGGGATTGAGCCTCAGGCCTCCTTACTGTGAGGGTTAGTTGTAACTACAGCAGAGGAGCTGCTGTGCAGGGGCTTATCCCATAGAAAGGGAGTCTCTTTAGTTGGGCTGCCGTGCCAGCTAAGTTCACCCTTCGGGTGTGTCATTTGAGGAGCTGGTTGAGTGACGCTCTGGTGTGGTCTGAAGTTGGTCACTAGTTGTGTTGGTTCTGAAGCCTCTTAGGAGGAGCTCCGTTGCAGGCCAAGGTCAACCTCTGTTTGTGCCTGGTTTGTGGCCACATGGTCAAAGCTACAAAGTCATCTGCAGTTGGTTGATGCTTGTGCCAGGCTTGGAGTTGCTTGGGAGATGCTATGTTGCAAACCAAGGCCTCTGCCAGTAGTGCCAGGCTTGGAACCCTTTGGTGGACACCATAATTTGAGCTGAGGCCAGGCCACTACTTGTACCATGCTTGTGGCCACTTGATTGAAGCTATGTTCTAAGTCAACACTGGCTGCAGCCCTCTCTCATTGGGGTGCAATTCCTGTTGATTTTGACAGCCAGATGTTGTGAGGACTCCTCTTCCCAGCACTGGTGCCCTGGGCTGGAGAGCTGGCGTGGGGTTAGGACCCTTCACTCCTCAATGGGGAACCTCCACAGCTGATTCTTAATCGCCACACCATGAGTGTGGGACTGCCTATTCCAGGTCTCTGTCCTCCTACTAGTCTTGTCCTGTCTTTCTCCTTGTATCTTTAGTTAGAGGAGTTCTGTTCAGCTAATTTTCAGGTGGTTCTCAAGGGTGGCTGTCTATAACTTAACTGTAAATTTGATGTATTTGTGGGAGCTAGTGAGCACAGCATTTACTTACTCCACCATCTTGCCCGGAAGTGACTCTGGAGTTTTCTATAATGAAAGTCTGTACCATGAAACACCCTTAGGACAATGACCAATGTTTATTTCATTCATTTTCTTTCAATTTGCTCACTTCTTTCCAGCTCTTAAACATTTTTAAACAGAGTGAAACACCCTGAACTAAGACTTGAATTCTGCGCTAACAAAAAACATCAAAAGTCGGAAATCATGAATTGTCTTCCAATCTAATTCTGAAAGAAGTATATTAAAATTTATGGTAAATTCATCAACTCGATGTCAACTCAAACAACATAATAACAAAGCTATTTGTTCCCATTTTGCCATTTCTTACAGCCACATATCAAAAATATCTATTCTCAGAACTTGTAACCACTTCCAAAATTATCCTTTTCTCCATTCCTACAGCTTCCATCTTAGTGCTGGCACTAGTCCTTTCTCATTTTTGCTATCGCAGGCATCTCCTCACCAGATGCTTTAGTTCCAGCTCAGCCAGCACTCTACCCAAATGTTCTGTAACAATGACACCTGAACATTCTCTCACCATTATTCTGATCAGGGCCTCTCTCCTTCAGGGCGCTTGGTGGTCTACTACTGCACCTGGAAACTTGCTAGGCAAAGAATCCTCTGCTTCTAAGTTCTTCTTCCCTTTCTTAATTCTTTACTATTCTCTGGCCTATCCTTTGCCTCTCCCAGGAGTGAGATGTCATCTCGGAGCATTCTCTGGAACACAGGTTTCCTTTCCCCTTCTTAGAGTCTCCGAATTTCTCCTTTTCAACAACAGTTCCTGAGATTACATGTCTTCTATGAAAATTCTCCCAAGTACCTAAGAAGAGAGTAATTTTCCTCATGACATTCAATCTAAATTACCTGGCTCAATTCAACTCCACTCACCATTTGTCTCAGGCCTTTGTTGGTAAACTACACTTAAAGACATTAAAATGTATGTGCTTGTTCAATGCTGGGCTCATAATTCACACAGCTTTCTATCTCCTATCAAAACAATTTCATGGTTATAAACTCTTGATGGGTGAGAAACACTTTAAACTCATAGTACAGAATCTGGATCAGCAGAGATTAAAAAAATACTTGAGGTTAGACAAAACTTTCAAAAAGAAAGACACAGAAAATGGAAAACAGAAACAAATACCACCCTTTTATCTCTATGAGTGATAAACAAATAAGATATTAAATAGATATTAAAACATAAGTCATGCCCTAGCCAGTTTTGCTCAGTGGTTAGAGCATCGGGCTGTGAACTGAAGGGTCCTGGTTAAATTCCGGCCAAGGGCATGTACCTCGGTTACAGGCTCCATCCCTGGCCCTGGTCGGGGCGTATATGGGAGGCGACCAACCAATGGGTCTCTCTCACATTGATGTGTGCATCTCTCTCTCCCTCCCTTCCACTCTCTCTGAAAAGCAATAGAAAAAGTATCCTCAGGTGAGGATTAAAAAAAAAGAAAAACATAGGTCATAAAGTAAAAAATACCTGATTATATGAATTTACACATCATAGAATGGTAATTTTCACAAGAATGAGGCTAAATTCTAGAGGTGGTTTCAAATACAAATAAATAAGAATAAAAAGAAATCTAATGATGCAAGTGAATTATTTAATTAGTCCCTTTAATTTCCTACACTCTTTCCTTTGACCATACCTACATGGCTCTTCACAAGTACCCTTTTCTAGGCCAATGAAGGTGCAGCCTGGAAGTTGAAGAATACATTCAATTTGGGAAGAGTACTATGCATATAAGAAATGCTTCTGGTGTCAAGGTATAGACTTTGAATTCAGACAGACTTATGTGAGTCCCAACTCTGCTCTAGCTGCGTATTGGCTTTGAGAATACAATAATAGCTATTCTAAGTCCAAACTAGCTGTAAAGTGAAAATAATGAACTAAATGACATTAAACATATAAAATACCTAACACTGAACGGATTGTAATATATTTAGGTGGTAGCTATTTTTTGACAATTGGTTTATCTCATTTCTAGGTTAGAATATGAAACAGAGAAGATGTTAAGACTACATTTCTTCAAAGCCCAATGGGGAAAAAAAGTAAAATGGAAAAAAATATCATGGATATATAGACTTACTAACAATTCCACTTTCTTTTTCTCCAATTTGCAATCTGGCTTTGGAGGTACAACCTCAGCACTTGTGTGACCATCACGGGAATTTTCAAGTCCCAGTTCCCTTGGCTGACTTTCAGTACCCCGTGGTTTTCCATCACCAACAGGAGACGTGATTGTAAGAGGACTAGGAGCAGTAAGGGGAGAAAACTGTGGCTTTTGAGGATTAAATCTCTGTTGTGGTGCAGAGAGCAGCTGCTCTGGAGGTAATCTGGTTGATCCATCTTGCAGTCCAAGCTTTTGGCTTTGCTCTTGAAGGGCTTTTTCTCGCTGAAGTTGTTGTCGACTTTTCTTCACAGGGGGACGCCGCTGTGGTTCAAATGGATCTACGTAAAAAAGAAAATGAAGGAAAATTCCTTTGTGTGAACAACAAATAATTATGATTTCTCTAAGAAAACAAATGATTAACATTAAGCTTTAATAATTCTATAAGGTTTTCTCCCCCTTCTCTATCTTAAAAGCCTCAGGAAAAACAGCCATCTTCATGCAGTTTCAATAGTTCTTCAATCATATTGTTAATATTTAACAAAAACTGTCCTAGCTCTCAATTTATCTTTAAGGAAAGCCATTTGTCTGCAAGTAAGGCCTTAGGATACAAAGCATGGTTTCTTTTTCAACTTGATTTGATAATTATCAAAAGTATCAACTAATTTGATCAAGCTAGGCAGACAAATGAACTCTCTGATATGTCTTAAATTTGATTTATGGTTGTATCTGCTCTCCTAAAATAAAATGGTGGTTGAATTTTCAAATGAGATTCATCTTTCTTAAATTTTCACAGATACATAGGAATCTGATACATAGGAAGATGCTATATACAAAGTATAACTGAATGAAGTCCCTTATTTCCAAGAATGTTAGTTTACCCTCAATTGTTTTCTTCCATCTTCCAGAACAGTCCAAGGTTGTTACCCAAAGCCTAGTTTGCCTTTAATCAATGTATGCAACCTAATTTTAACAGCAGCCTGATCAAAGCAATAAAGGAAGATACAAGTCATATTATAAACTGAATAATAATACTTCTATTATACTTTTTGTATTGCCCATGTTAGTATTAACATTGTAGGGAAGACAACTGGAGAATTTAACTCACATTCATGATACATTTAATAAAATCTATAAATGATATCCTTTACAAAATGCCCAGGAAATGAAATTATGATATGTCCTTGTATTTGAACTCAAATAAGACTTTTAAATTCTGCATATTGACCTTTGAAGCAATACAAGCTTATTACTTAGATTTTCCAAATAACAGTTAAAAACTCTGGAGTCAGTTCCAGAGTTGCTTTTGTCCAGCTCAAGCATGTCAATTATTTATTCCATACCTCAGTTTCCTCACCTGTCAAACTGATTAAACATTACCTGCTCTACTTATCTCATGGAGTTGGTGTAAAAATTTAATGAGACAGGTTAAAAAAAAATTAAAAAAAGATAGCTGTACTATCTAAAGTAAAATGTTAATATTGTTGACTTTAGCCAGAAACAAAAAATAGCCTCCTGTATCTTGGAGCAGGAATTTATTATTGACTACTGATCTTTATTCACACCATCAGAAAATATCATTGAGCTTGCTTACCTCCCAATTACACTCATTAGCTGAATTAACAGTGCCTCTCAAATTCTATACTTCAGCTTCCATTTCATTTTGCATTTTCACAGAACCTAACTATGAGATTTATAATGCAAATTTTTAAACTCCCAAACAATAAACAAATCAGGCCACTTAAAAATAAAACATATCACCAAAAAAACTCCTGGAACTAATTAGCCATCATAGCAAGACTGCAGAATACAAGAGTAATATACCAAGATCAATTGCTTTTCTACATACCAGCAAGTGGAATTTGAAATTAAAGACACAATACCATTTACAGTAGCACTCAGAAAAATACCTAGATATAAATCTAACAAAATATTTACAAGAGCTAAATGAGGAAAACTATAAAACTCTGATGAATGAAATCAAGGAACAAAATAAATGGAAAGACATTTCACATTCATGGATAGGAAGATTCAATATTTCAAGATGTCAGTTCATCATAACTTGATCAACAGATTCATTGCAATCCCAATCAAAATCCCAGCAAATTATTTTGTGGATATTGACAAACTAATTCATAAGTTTACTCGAAGAGGCAAAAGACCCTGAATAGCCAACACAATATTGAAGAACAGAGTTGGAAGACTGACACTGACTTCAAGACTTACTATAAAGCTACAGTAATAAAGACAGTGGGTATTAGCGAAAGACTAGACAAACCAATCAATGGAACAGAATAGAGAGCCCAGAAACCGCTCACTTAAATAGAGTCAACTGGTCTTTGACAAAGGAGCAAAGGTAATACAACAGAGAAAATTCTATCCAACAAATGATCCTGGACAATTGGACATCCACAAGAAAATGAATCCAGACACAGACCTTACATTCTGCACAAACATTCTCAAAATAAAACAAAGGCGTACATGTAAAAGTCAAAACTTTTAAGTTCCTAGAAGATAATATAGGAGAAAACCTAGATGGTCTTGAGTATGACAATGACTTTTTAGATACAACACCAAAGGCACTACCCATGAAGAAGATAATTGGTAAGCTGGACTTCATTAAAATTAAAAACTTCTGCTCTGCAGAAGATATTGTCAAGGGAATGAGAAGACAACTCACAGACCAGGAGAAAATGATTTGCAACAGACACATCTGATAAAGGACTTTTTAATTTCTGTCAATCAAGTGGGTACGAAGCAGTATTTCACTGTACTCTTGATTTGTAATTCTCTGCTTATTGATGGTGATAAGCATCTCTTCATATTTCCTTTTCATGTTTTTTGTCAACTTTCCTTTGGCTTATTTGTATTTTTAATATATCAGCAACAACTGGAAAACATAATTAAAGCATTGTAGCCACACTGCTTTATTTCCAATTTTTTTCATTATGAAATAAGTCATACATCCAATAATATGTGTCTCACACACACAATCCACCCAGTATGGATTATAAAAAACCAACACAATTTAACAAATAAAATATGACTATAGTAGATATAAAATATCTACTATAAGATATCTACTACAACAGATATGCTGTTCAAAGATATAACATTACCCCATTTTGGAACACCCAAGAGAACTGTATTTCCTGTCTTCCAAGTCATATGACTTGCATTTACTAAATGAAATAGAAGTAGACGTGACACCTGTCATTTATTGGTGGAAGTATTTATTGCCAGTGTTTCATTTTCAATCTTCTTCTCCTCCTGCCATGGTGAACTCCTAGAGGACAGTACCAAGGCATTGTGTGGAGTGACTATGTGGAGCAGAGTCACCTGTCAACCCAAGTTAGACAGAAAGGTGGAGTAAAAAAAAAAAAAATCTTTATTTTTTTACATAATTGATATTTTAGGGCTATTTGTTACTGCAGCTTAACTTGGTTTAACCTGATTTCATAATTACCACTACCCTTTGAAACTCCCTACATATTTGCCACTCCTTGCTTCCCCACAACCCTGAATTTTGTGTTTCATTCCCTTGATTTTCTTTATAGATTTCCTATATTTCTAAAATATACCGGCTTTGTATGATTTTGACCTTCTATAAATGGTATCAGATTATACATTCTTTTGCAACTTGCTCTTTTCATAGTATTTATGAAAGTTATACATGTTAATATATGTGGCTATAGTTCCCACTAGCTGTATAGTAGTCCACTGGATGATTATACCACAATTTATTTATCCACTCCCTTGTTAATGAACACTTGGTTTATTCCCAGATTTTCAATATTATAAAGAGGAGTGTTGAGAACATTCTTGATCTCCACCAGTGCACATATGGGTTTCTCTAGAGTTGCTATCCTTATTTTTGCTGGTAACCAACTTCATTTTCATAGATTAATTATATTTTTATGGTTGGAGAACTACTAGGAGGAGCCTTCAAAAGTAAAGATCCAGCTCCTCTGGTTTTACAAATGAGAAATCCAAGGCAAAAAGATTTAGAGGCAGAACTGGATGATCTGACAATCACTGTGCTTGGTTATAAGTATGCAAAGATGCTAAGGTATTTTCCTCAAGGTGATCAGAGACCAGTGAGTTGGTGTCTACGTTCTAACACCTGACTATGAAAAGATAGGCCTTGAAATTAAGGTTTCCCCACTCCCTATCACAAATTGAGGAGATATTTGAAAATGTTCTTCCGCATAATCAATTTAACCTAGACTTCTACATGAAGCCTTCTTCCCCCCGGCAAACTCACCTCTGCCAACACATAATCTTTGTGATGTCTTCCCAAGCTGCACCCAGCCCCCAGCAATATGAGGTTCCTGCTCCCTTGGTAGCAATCTCTTGTACAACATCTACTATCACATTATATTATAGTTTGTCTCATCAGTAGACTAGAAACTCTTTGAAGGCAGGGATGAGGCCTTGTTCATCTTAGCATCCCTAATGCAGAAGCTTCAGGTAAGACAAGAAGCAGAGGTATTTGTACTCTGTACATCAGAGTAAGTGAACGGGTGTTGAAAACACAGAGCAAGAAAATTTGTTAACATCAAGCAAGAGAAGAGTCAGTTAATTACACACTGTAGTATAACTTTTATGATCCAGTTTTTAAAGCCCTTTGGACCAGTCCAAATTTCCTCAATCTATATAATCTACACTGTCTCTATGTTACTAATTTACTTCCTTTTCCACCTGTCAGCCCCCGCATATCCTCACACCTATGCTAAAAATGCAGAGGCTTACCTGAACATGCAATTTTCTCATAAACTCTAATAAAAGGCATGACAGGGTTTATTTAATTTTTTCCTAATGTACAGTGTATAAGTTTGGTACCAAGAGTAGTATAAACTCACAGAAGTTGTGTACACTACTGGGATCACCAAACAGAATTTTATGAAATTTCAACCATCAACAAAGCCTCGTTTATATAGCCAAGAGTTCTTACCTAGTATCAACAAACTTAATTCCTTCATTAAAAGATAACAAAAGAGTACAGGTCCTTTCAATGATTACTCTATAAAGCCAGAGAGGGAAGCACAAAATTTTGGATTATACCACAGTTGTGTGTGTGTGTACATATACTTATTTATTTCACATCTAACCTCTCAAAGACCCCTTTGGTTTGCTCTCAAGGGTTTGGAAAGAACTGCAAAAATCATCTGGCAACCAGAAGTGAATGCAAGACTCCAGATGTATTATGAAAAGCACCGTGCTCCCCTTTTCCCAGTCATTGCTGCTATAAATTCATCACAATTCTAATATGGTGAGTACCCCTCCTCTTTCCTTTACCCTGACCCCAATCCTCCAACCACGGATCTACACCGCTATCTTTCTATAGGAGACCCACAGGCTGTAGGACCGGCCTCCTCTTCCAGGTCCCATTCCTTCCACAGGAAAAAGTCAAACTCTGCAACGGATTCCTGAACGCTCTGTTCTTGAAGTAGATCCCAGTCTCCAAGGCCCGCCCCTTCCACCACGGCTCCAAGCACTTCCACCTCCGCAGCCCCTCAATTCCGTCTCCCCATTTACAGCTCCATCCCCCAACACAAACACCTTCCATCTTCCCCGCCCCCTTCCCCTAAGAGACCTAAGATTTCAATCTCCGCAGGCACGTCCTGTTACCTTTACTCTGCTTTAGTCGCCTCAGCTCCTCCTCAGAGAAGCCAGCCCAGCTCTGAGCCATCCGCCCCGGCTGCCAGCAACCCCCAGAACGCCCAAACTTCAGCGCCCCAACTGCCAACACGACTTCCCAGGCACATCCGGGTTCTTCCCCTGCAGCTGCCGGTCAACCAATCAGAGCGTCGAGCTTTGGACCCAAGGTCTCTTCCTTGCTGCAGGAACCGCCTCTGTGTGAGGCTGCCCACGGCAGTGCCGGACAAGCTGCCTAAGGAAGTCTCGGCCACGCGGACATTCCTTTCCCCTGAGCTGGCTCTGCTCTCTCCCGTCTCTTTATCATAGTTGAGTAAATCGCTTCAAGAGATAAGGGGAGAAATAGCGAGGAGGGTAAGAGTGGAGATAAACAGGCAGTTAGGAAGTGGCTACGAGTCGATGGCGCGAAAGGCCGGACATAAAGGCCTGGGGGAGGGGGGGGTCCTCTGTCAGTTCACTGGGGCGGAGCCCGCTACCTGGTCCTGAGGTGTGTGTTCGTTGGCTTATTGTATTGGTTCCTTTCAAAACTGCGCTGAAAATACCCATCAGGTTGATTCAAGAAAATGTTCAGAATTAGGTGTTTAATTATGAAGGAACATTTCAGAGGACTGGGGTATAATTAATGGAAAGGGAACAGACACATTTAACGGGGTCTCTCTAGCGTCTCCCAGATTTCTGTTGACTGGGTTGTGTGAACAGAAATGTTGTTTTGTGAATGATTCTTGCTATTCTGCAACCCTTCTCCTGAGACATCTAAACCTCCCCCGTTAAAAATGGTCTCGCCTGTTTTTACAGTTCGAGAAGGCAATGGAAACCGGCCCTGAGGTGTGGGCAAACATTCCTCAGGCTTCTCCCGCCTGAAGTCCCGGTTTCATTGTTCTGGTTCTTCCTTGGACACTTAACCTCCCCGGGCTCTCGTTTTCGCATTTTTTAGCAAGATTTTGAAGTTTAAAATATGCAAGCGTTGTCAAAGGACATATAGACCAGGGTGATTGAGACCAGTTATTCCATTTTTCATATTTCTCTTAAATTTAGCATTTTAAAAACCGTTTATTTTGTCTTACACTTTAAGATGTTAAATTTTAAGCCAAAGGGACTTTAGTGTGTCAATATTTTTAAACATTGAAACAAAGGAGTATCTACCACACCAAGTTGAAACTACTACACCAAGAAAAGCGTTGAAATGAGTATTTCAAGTTTAGATAGGTGGTCAGAAGGGGACAGAATTTCCCTTATAATCTTAGAGATTTTAAACTTGAGTGGTTTCTGAAATCTAGGTGTGCACAAGCGCTTCGTTTTAAATGTGGACTCATTTCCCCAACATTTAAAAGTTAAAATGCCACCCAAAACGATTGGAGGAGACATTAATCCAGTTTTTCTTAACCTAACTAAATAGGTTAATCCAAGATACAGATTAGCTTCAAAGTAATAGATGGGGATCAATAGCAGTCTGGTAGTTAAGTCAGTTTCCCATTTGTAGACTCCAGCCATCCAAATCGTCTAATAAAAATGAACCACATTGTATGCCCCATGTTAAATTTTTTATACATAAACTTTCTTTAGCTCAAGGGTTGAATTTCAAGAATTATCAATAATCTTAATAGACAAAGATGTTACGGCATTTTTAAAGGTTTTGTTAGCTCTGAATGAGAACCAAAGCATGAGCAAGATTATAGTGTAAGATAACATCATTTGTGTAACACTGTAATTTGTAGTTTGCAAGGTTCTAAATCTGTTTCTGTTGGCTCTCCCTCATAGGGAATGGGTTTCTTCAGATGATGTATAATATTTTGTTGGGAGATTAAATTCAGAGAATGTCTTTGTTCTGTGAGAGTCGTCCGTACCTTAGGTTGAGAGACTGTCTCTACAGACTGGTTTTCCTGTGCTGTGGAAATTTCAATTTCTTTAAACCAGATTTAAGGTGATTTTTTCCCGACTTGTGATATAAAGTTGGATCTCACCCCCATATATGATACAGGCCTCAGGTATTAGTTTTTTAGTTGTGCAAACTTGCCTAGCTTGCTAGTAATGCAGCTAGGATTCAGACTCAGGCAGTCTGGCTCCAGAATCTATGATCTTAACTACCCTGCCATTCTGATTTTATAGTATTCCTCATCTTACAAATAACTGGCAAACATTTCATTAAATTCTTAAGCTCGTAAGAACAGAGTGTGAATGACTGACTCCTTACTCTCACACACTGTGTTATTTGCATTTTCAAAAGATTATGCTTTCTCATCCAGAGGAATCTTTTGTGAGTGAAATATTATGTATTCTGACAGAGAAATGAGAAGTATTTGTGAAGTGTAACAGAAGCTGTTTTTAGTCACTAACTCTCCCAATTTCACTCTACCTTGGAACTTTCCGGCTTGGCTTCCCTAAGTTTTTGACT